ATTACAATATAATAACATCAAATTTGTTTTATTTCATTAATTTTTTTGGATTTTACAGCGTTCCGAACCCGGCCGGATTCTTGAATACTGGCCATCTTGAAATAAGGGGTGCCATCTTCCTATGTTATAATTAATTTATTATCGACTGATTCCGTCACTAGAAAACTTAGCCCACCTCGTGCACTTGCGTCGCACGAAAAAGCACCAATGGACAAAGATAAAGTTTAACAAGAGCACCGTAAAAATATTATTCCAAGATAAATTTCTTGGTAATGAAAAGAACAAAAAACAAACGTAATAGACTTTCTCAAAATTGCTCTATCAGAGGTGGGTTTTAGTGTCGACCAGGCTGAGGATGATGCAGATACAATCATCATCCGTTCTGCTCTTGCTGCATTCCAAGCCTATGATTCTGTGATTGTCGTAGCAGAGAACATTGACATTCTTGTCTTCTCACGTCATTATTAAAGGAGCAGTCGAATCTTATATATCCAAAGTGTTAATTTTTTTTAAACCTTGAAAAGGATGTAAGTCGCATCAATTATACTGTCCTTCAAGTTTTATATACGGAGGCGCCATTGCCGAGAATTTGCTGTTTCTCCATGTTTTTTTTTTCAGGAAGTGATACAATATTAGTAGCGTACGAGATCAGCAAACTTTAATTCATCAAATTTACAGAAACATCCTGAGTTAGCTAGCCGAACAGATTATTTCTCAGTGAGAAAGCCGAGACATCCTTGCCCACTGCCGTTGGTTAACGTTTTTTTTTCTGTATATGGTGAAAATAAAGTTGATTCTCCAACAGCATGAGATACAAACAATTTGCTAAGACCGTGACCAAAATTACATTTAACTTATCATCGCTTCCGATAACACAAGATGCAGCTCGTTTCCACATTGTTAGAGTTTATCACCCAAAAACCCTGCGAACTTAAGATTGGGACAAAAAAAAAGCATGGAAAAATTTGGATACCAATCAAAACTTTCAAAACTCTAGCACAGGCCGAATTTCTTTTTTTGCAGATGCAAGGGAAACTGTGAAAGTACGTGTGGTTGCCGACAAGTAGGCCACAAATACTCTGCAGTGTGTCTCAATTGTTCTGGTGAAACCTACAGTGACATTATGGATATATTAAAATTAATCTAAAAATTCGAAGATGAATTATCCACAATGACGCCAATTCTAACTTCCGTTCTTTCGCAAACATTAACCTTCGATACTGAATTAGATCCTGAACCGCCTGGACCATCAAAGAAAATAAAAAACAATAATTGGAAAGCAACTTTTTAAATATATAATTTTGCTCAATATTTTCTCGACTGGAAATTGTCAGTGAATTAGGCCTAAATGGGGATACCACTTAAAAAAACGCCTCCATAGATGGTCGGGAAAAAGGTCGATAATAAACCATAGGAATGTTAACAAAATAATAAATTATATGAATAAAATCATAGGTAATAAAAAACTAAACCTAATGGTTCGTTTTTATCGTATTCTTGAGTATTCAAGAACCCGGTCAACTTCGGGAGTGTTGTAAAACCCACAGAAATTAATGAAATTGAACACTTTTCAAAAAAGAAGAACACATTGAAAATCTTCTATAATATTGCTCCAGAGCATCAGATGATGTCTTTTTATTGTAAAATGACCAGAAAAAAGTTATAAGGTCCAAAAGAAAATTTGTTCAAAACTTTTTTGTTAATAACTTTTTTATTTTCCCTTTTGCGATAAAAAATAATAAAAATTATGTTGTAGACAAACTGTTCAAAAACCCTATCAACTATGGAGCGCTGTAAAATCCAGAAAAATTAATAAAATTTAATAATTTTGTAGTGAAAATTACTCTATAAAAAAATAAAAAAATTTTGGTTATTTTTGTGTATAACTTTATTTTCAATTTTACGATAAATACAAATAAAATTGTAGAAAATTTAATTTTCTGCAAATTATGTTTTATAAAATTTTCTGTAGGATTGTTTATTTACGAGATCCAGCGCGAAAACTATTTGCCCTCCTTTTTCAAAAATGTAACTTTTCAATGGACTATTAACGTAGTATGGTAAACATCACGATACACTTACACATCATGATTACTATATTTTAAATTTCATTAATAAAATAAATTTTATTGTGTGTAACAAAATTATACCTATATAAATACACTCTGGGCCAAAATTAACCGGCCACCTTAAAAATGGGTAATTTTTTTAATATGTTACAGCCTTATTCCTTGACAATGTCGTTTTAATAATATGGTTGCTAAACAGGTACATTTTCATTGTATACCGGGTGTACGAATTAAACTGTGTTTTTTTCTTTAAGTTTTCATCACCCTGTGGAATATTCTAGCATTTATAAAATATTGAAATTAACACCTAACTATAGCCTTATGTTTTCTAAAAATACCATTTGCATTCATTTGCTTATGTTGGATAATACAAAAGTTGGGTAGTTTAACAACTAGCCATGTTTTTCATCAATCCAGACGATTTAACTCACCAGCAAAATCAAGATCACCACCTTTATTATTGTTTTGTTTACATTATCTGTTACTGTAATCCGTTTTGTTTTCTAAATTTGTGTCATCGAAGGATTTTTGATATATAGTCGTACGACATTGTTGCAAATCTGTTTCCGTGTTAATAACAATTCTTGAACAATTTGTAATTAAAATTGTAATTTTATATTATTGAGAGCGAATATAGTTTAAGTTGAAATTTTAGTGCTCATTTATTGTTTGTGATTTCAAAAATGTCGTTCCAACTGATGCTGCTAGGGTAGTGGCTTTCGTTGTTGCTGGTTACAGTCAATGTCATATCGCTGGTATACTCGATGTACCCAGAACTACGATACAACATGTCATCAGACGATTTCGGGAGACAGTATCGTACAACCAAAGGCCAGGTCAAGGCCGAAAACGATGAACTTCAGTTTGAGATGACCGTTTCATTGTCACTAAAGTATTCAGAAATCGCTTTTGCACCGTTCATGAAGCTCGTACGTCTCTTCTTGAGGTGAGAAACGTTAGTGTGAGTAGACGAACGATTAGAAGAAGACTGTCAGAAATAAACTTGAGGGCTTTTGGCCCAGCTAGCGCACCACAACTGCTCCCACAACACTGTAGGACTAGACTTCATTTTGCGCGAGAATATGCTAACTGGACTATGGCGGAATGGAAAAATATACTGTTCTCAGATGAGAGCAGAATAGCCCTAAAAGGTCCAGATGGAGGGTGGTATTTTGAGGGTGGGATTTGGGGAGGTATTTCTTACGAAGCGCGTACTGATCTTGTTGTGTTCGGTAGAGACAGTGTGAATGCCCAAGTGTACGTACAAGAAGTTCTCCAAGACCATGTAATGTCTTTTGCACCATTCATTGGTGATAACTTCAGACTAATGCATGACAATGCACGTTGCCATACAGCACGATCTACCCGTGAGTACCTTAATGAGGTCGCGATTCAAATTCGACCATGGCCAGCACACAGTCCCGATTTTAACACAATTGAGCATATCTGGGACAACCCCAAAAGACGGGTAAGAGCAAGAGTACCAACCCCTGCATCCTGTGAAGAGCTGAAGACAGCTGCGGTAGAGGAGTAGCACAATATCCCCCATCTGATATCCAGGATATCATGAATGGATTGCCAAACCGGCTCCAAAAAGTCCTAAGGGCTAGAGGCGGCAACACCCATTATTGATACCAAATTTTTTTTCAATTTGATTTTGATTTCCAAAATATTGTTAATTTGAATTTTCTTCGAAGATTTTATTCATTGGATTTTTACTGTAACAAATGACTTTTTTTTAAAGATTATTTTTTCTCTTCCGCGGGAATAAAAATTGATAAACAACATGTCTAGTTGTTGAAGCACCGAACTTTTGTATTATCCAACATAAGCTAATAAATCAAAAAACAAAGTGTTGAGAAAGCATGAGGCCATAGTTACGATTTAATTTCAGTATTCTACAAATGCTAGAATATTCCACAGGGTGATGCAAACTTTAAGAAAAAAACACAGTTTGATTCGTACACTCGGTAGGTATACAATGAAAATATACCTGTTTAGCAACAATATTATTATAAAGATATTGTCAAGGAATAAGACTATAACATATTAAAAAAATCACTTAAATCGGATAACAGGTTTATAAGATATAAGAAATCAAAAATTACCCATTTTTAAGATAGCCGGTTAATTTTGGCCCACAGTGTATTATATTCAGTTCATTTGATTTTAATAGAACAAAATCCAACATTCTTCACTGATCATCGGTTAATTACTTATCAGCCTTCATATATGGCTTTTAATTTAATTTATGATGTCAATAATTAGCAAAAATTTTTCTGACAGTATTTCAATTCTGTAATTATTGGAAGCAGAATGTGTACGCCAATGCTTTACCCAAGGCGCCATCACTGAATCATAATCATATTGTTTAACAAAAAAAACAAATAACTATTAAACAAATTAAAACATAATCCAAGATGCATAGGAATTAATAGGAGTGAATTACTTAATCATAATTTTCATGTACACTGAACATTATTATTACAAAATAAGTCAAATAATAAAAATAAATTTTATCCATTCCTCTATCTATCTAATCTATTCCTTACAAATGATTGTATGTCACGTTTAAGTATACATAATGTTTAATAATATGCATTGATAAACAAAAAAAGCAATCAAGTAACGTCATACATTTTTTTAACTTTTTTTAATAAAATAAATTAATTATCGGTAAAACGTAATCTTTAGCCACTCAAAACATAACCTAAAAACACGAAAACAAATTTTCAAGAACTTGGTTTCAATTAATTGTGCAATATTTCATAGTTTTACAACTTTGGTTTTACTACATAACACAACACACTGTCCCTCACACGCGTGCGGTGACGTTTTTCTGTTCGATTAAATTCAGTTGTGAACAGAATTTTGTAACCGAGGTAGTAAAAAATTACCTTCTGTTTCAGAGTCTAACCAATCTTAACGAACATGGAGACTACTAGTGTATTTTCGGAGGCTTTTAAAAATATCATCGGTGATGTTATCACCACAGTACAGTTAGAAGGAAACGAGAAGGAAATTAAAAGAGGTGAGTGTTTTTAAAAATTTAATTTACTTTTGATTTTATTGCACAAGGTGATGCTAAATAATTTTCCATGAACATATAGGGTGATTCAGAAATTTAGAAATAATGAAAAAATTTAAATTGAAGTTTTTGGATATTTATATACAGGGTAATTCAAAAGTTTATTGGTTAGAGTCATTCTGAAGATTTATGAATGCGCTTATATAATTGACATCGATTAATGACAGCGGTAAAAGTTTCAATGTTATAATCCCTCTTTGGTTGCTAAAACTCTTATTCTTTTTTTTTGTATTTATCTCATCATCATCATTTATCTCATGTGATGAGAAAATATCTCATCAACCAGCGACTACTTAATAAGTAATGGATAACAATTTACAACTTATACAAAATATTTACATAGTTACAGATTTACAGATTTAAATATTAACAGATTTAAGATAGTTTTTTATTTTTTTGATAGTGCGCATTTCATCTCACATAGCAAGATCTTAGTTAATAATATTTTTGTCAATACTTCAATAAACACCTCGTATTCAAGGTACTTAGTGTGGCATAGTTCGCATCACGAAAGTTCGTTATTTGAGAGTACGAGTACGACTTTTGTTCTAAATGTAGTTTATTTAGAACTGCTTTCAAGCGACATATTTCGAATGATTGTTGGTTTTTGGACCAAAGCACTATCGTTTTTTATAGATCTAAAATTGAATTGTGATTGAGATGACTCTCATATTCATAATCACGAGAGTATTAACTTACACTTGCCGGTGCTGTTTATTGCATTAAAAAGTAACTAACGAAAGGCGTAACTCGGGAGCATCTAATGAGCAGATAGTCAACTTTTGATGGGTGAGCTATTGGGAAACTTATAGGTTACTGAAATCTACAGTCTTTAATAGTAAAATTGGTCATGTGGCATTTATTCATTAAGGCCTTTCATTCCTGATGAAATATTTGCCGCCCTTACTTAGAGCTCTTTGATTCGCTTAGTGCGGTGAATCAGTCCACATTCTTCTTGTGAATTGTTGAAGTTTGTTGTATGACGATTCTCGTTACAATTTTCTTCCACTCATTTCTCTATGGTTGTTATAGTCTGGTACTTCTCCGTTCTTAAATATTGGTATAATTCTGCCTTCTTTCCAAACCTGAGGCATTTCTTCTGGTTTCCATATTTTAACTATTAGTTTGTAGATGATTATTAATAATTTCCCCCCCGTTTACAATCAGATCGTTGGGAATTTTTTCTTGGCTTGGGGTTTTTTTCTGTTTAATTTTTTTAATGATGTGTAAATACTCATGATTATCATTATTTCATGTCTTTCATTGAGCATTCTTCCTCTTCAGGCCTTTCTTTGCATCTATATAGTTCTATGAAGTGTTCCCATCCCATGATTTATTGTTACTCTTCTAGGTCCTTTAACAACAATAAATATCAATTTATTTCTGGTTTGGTTTTTCTGTTTGATTTTTATTTCGCATTTTGTATCCAACCATTCTTTCCTTCTTCTTATTTTCCTCTGCCCTAGCTTCTCTTCAGCTGAATTCAAAATGGATTCTTTTATATTTGTCCATATTTCCTCTTTGTTATTTGCTTCTGTTAGATTTTCCTTTAGGGATGTCTCATATTGTTCTTTTAATTCCTGTACTCTATTTTCTCCAGGTTTCATCTTCTTTTGTGTTATCTTGTTCTTACTGTTTTAATTACCATTATTTTTATTTCTTCTATTTTGGTCTGTCTGTGACAGACTTTTTCACTTTCTGGAAATGGCCCAGCAATGTCCAAAGCTATTCATTCAAACGGGCTTCCCACATTATATTGTCTCATAGGAGCTCTCCTTTTTCGGTAAGCCCGTTACTTGTAGCACAAATAGTACATTTCTTACACCAGTCTTTTACGTCGTCGGAACTGTTCATCCAATAAAACCGTTCCCGAATTCGCTGAAGGGTCTTCTTTACACCAAAATTCCCTCCTGATGGACGGCTATTCTGCTCTTTGGGATCACCAACTGTCTTCTCTTCTCTGAACCGTCATCATTTTCCAGCACTCGTTTGAGCAAGCCATCTTCCATGATAAATGAATCCCACTGGGCCCAATACGTCTTAACTACTGAGCATAGATTTGATATTTCTTGCCAAGGTGGCCGACGGTTTTCCTCTTTCCATTTTCGAATTTTATGTACAACTGGATCTCTCTCCTGTTCTTCCCTTATCTTGGTAGGCGTCCAGTTGTCGTTGACCATCGTCGTTCTTAGCACTGCTGCTTCGTTGGATTCCGTTTTGTTGCAGTGGGAACATTCTACTGGGCGTGGCCTTCTGGAAAGAGAATCAGCGTTTCGTTGGATTAAAAACTTCCTTCCATAGAGGTATTGATAGAAGTGCTTTACTGATTTCACTACTGCTAGAAGTTCTCTTCTCGTGACGCAATAATTCCACTCAGGTTTTGAGAGAACTTTACTAAAATATTAAAGGACTCTTTCCTGTCCTCCTTGAATCTGAGACAGCACTCATCCAATTGCCACATTACTTGCATCTGTATCTAAGATGAACTCTCCTTCTGGCAGTGGATAGCCTAAAATTGGTGCTGTGATTAAATGCTTTTTTAAGGTCTCAAAGGCATTTTGGCAGTCTGTATCCCAGCAGTAATCTCTTGCTTCTTCTGTGAGTCGCTTTAATGGCTTAGTGAGATCTGCAAACTTCTTAATAAACCTCCTGTAGTAAGTACATAGTCCAAGAAAACTTCTCACTTGATGTTTGTCAGTTGGTTTTGGCCATTCCTTAATGGAATCGATTTTTTCCTTATCCACGGCCACTCCTTCTTTACTGACTATATGACCCAGATAATTGACTTTACCTTGAAATAGCTGGCACTTCTTGGGCTTTAACATCAATTGGGCAGCTTTAAGTTAATTAAAAACGTTTTCTAAATTCTTCAGATGGTCTTCAAATGTCTCCCCCAAGACGATTTTGTAGCGCGACTGTAGCCGCGCTACTATGATCGTTTCACTTCTCGCAAGGCACGACTGTATCTTCTTTAATGGCTGCTTGCATAGTGTTGTCATCATGTGGATGAAGAAGTACTCGTTACCAACTTTGATTACCTTATTCTTAAAATCCAATTGGAATCCATGCGTATTCATTACGTCCATTCCTAAAATAACATCCTCTTCGATGTCAGCAACTATAACAGTATGGACGAACTTTTCTGCTCCAATTCCTAATTGTATCTGGATTTCTCCATGAATGTTGACATTTTCACCTGTAGCGGTCCGCAGTCGCAACCTCGTTGGTAACAGTTTCTTATGGCTGTTTATAACTGTCGGGCGTATAATGGTTCTGGTCGCTCCGGTATTCACCAACAACGTATGCTTTTTACCATTTATTTCTCCATCTACATATACACTATCTTCACGACATTTCAAAGAAGCTATTAGTATAAGAGGGTCTTTGGAAAAGTTCTGGGTCGAAGCTGCCCCCCTAAGGCCGACCCGTTCTAGTTTTCCTAACGGTGAGTTTCTTTATTTGCGTCGTACCTAGGATGCTTACAGGAACTTCGTACGTGTCCTATTTCACAATTCCAGCATCTTATGGTCTTCGGTTTTAGTTGGACAGACAGTATGGTCTTCTGTCAACTGTCAAGTTGAAATGTCCACTTACTTTTTACAGTTGTTTACACTATTTATACCTGTTTACTTATGGTTTCCAAGTTTTACTCGTGATTTTCTGTTCACTGCACTTTTTCCTCTCGATACTCCTTTCTGTGTATATACAAGAATGTTTCACTACGAGCGTACACTATATATATATATATATATATATATATATATATATATATATATATATATATATATATATATATATCGGAAAATACTTAAAAGATATTTTTATGAAAATTGGTTTATGGGGATTACGAGTCATGACAAACTTAAAGAAAACATTGTGACAGACATGCCACGTCCGGTTATACCGGAAGTGAACATCTACTTTGTTATTTTAAATGGAATACCCTGTATATTACAGCATTTTTAGACTCTGCGTAAAATTCTAGACAAAATTTGTGTACCATAATTAGTAATAGTTAGTACCATAATTCGAAACTTCATATTTTTTGAGTTATTCATCTTTTTTCAAAAATTTTGACAAATTATTCGATTCAAATTCGATTTCGATATAAGTTACTGAAAGAACGTTACTTATTCTTTGCGCGAATTTAAGATATTATGTAAGTGAATGAGCTGTTAGCTTTGACAAGTTTGTCTCTATTTGCCAAAATTTTTATATTCATTCATTTAAAATAAGTAGGTTGCTGTTCAATTTTCATAAATATCGTGCAAGTAGTTTCCGATATATAGATAGTGTAAACTCGTCATGAAACACCCTGTATATTTTTCATTTATAACCACTATTTTTATTCTTTTCGTTCAAGCGAAATAATTTTCCCATGTTACTACACACACACACACTGTTGCCAAGTCGGGGCGTTTATTATATCTCTTTATTATTGATTGATTGATAACAAAATAATTTGCTACAATTTTGCAATAGTCATTGTTTAATAGTTTTGACTATTTTTAGAATTGGTCACCGTTTTAATCCCCTAAATGTTGAATTTTTGAAAAAGGAAATGTATATGGGCCATATTTTATAAATTGCCTATACAGTGTACAGTTCACCAAATATAGCTGAAAGTGTGAAATTCCCATTGCCTGCGCTAACAATGAAGTCAGAACGCACATACAAACGGTCTGGACCGTCAGTTCGAGTGCGAGGTCCGTCGTTTGACGAATGCGCATCATGATTGTCATGCGTTTTCACACTTTCAGCTATATTTGGCGAACTATAGTTGACGTATTTTTTTAGATTCATCTCCAGCTGATGAATGGTCTTCGTCAAACGACAAAAAGTCCTGTTCTTATTGCCGCGTTGAATTTCCCGACAGTCAGGTTCAAAGAGAACATTACAAACTAGACTGGCATAGGTACAATTTGAAACAGTCCCTGTTTTCCAGACCACCAATCACGGAAGACGATTTTAGTGTCAAAACTGGAAATGGTGAGTCGCCTTATTTATATATGTACGTTTCTTAAATAATAACACAAGAAATCATTTGGATAACACAGGTTTTTTTAATTAAAAATTATAAATTTTTACCTAATTCGTTGTAAATTTATAAATTTTGTAATTCATTCATTCAATACGATTTTGTAGATACCTTTAGCTAGTTTTAACCCTTTACCTACTTTTACGGTTAAACAACCACAACCAAAGCAATTGGATAAAATCGTTGATTTTTGAATATGTGAAGAAAAAATGTTTATGTTGATTTTAAATACTGTGTTGTTACAGATGATTTATCCAGTATATCAGGATCAGACTCTGAAAAAGAAGACACACTCGACACATATGCCACTGCCCAAGGAAAAATATTCTTGAAAAACAAAAGCAACCAAGTTATTTCATTGTACAAATGCTTAATGTTAGACAGGAAGGTAAGTTTTTAGTTAAAAAAAACTTTTACAACTACATCTGCCTTCGTTTTTCTTGTTCCTTCTTAAAAACTAGGGATATTTTTTGATAAATATATATTATGTTCGTATAAAACACCATATTACAAATCAAAACTGTGAGCTACATGAGCCTTGCTTAAATTGTTCAACAGAAATGAGTTATTATATCACATTAGTTTAAGTTGATCGTAACTTACTAACATAAAAGAGAGAAAGAGTAATACATTTTACTATTAAAATAATTAAGTTATTTTATGTTGAAGTATAGTAAATACTTTTGCTCTGAAAAGCACTTAGGTATTTTGCAATTCTTTCCAGAACACCAATAAACGGTAAAACTTTCTTATAGACTTGTATTGTTATTATTATGCTTCCAATTTAGTTGTTTGTCAATACGAGACTTGTTGATTTAATTGCGACTTCACCTGGCATTGAAAATTATTGAACTTTTAATTTTTAACTTTTGGAAGGATAAAGAAATAATGTTAACAACAAGAGCCAAAAGGAAAATCACTTACACAGTTACATAAAAAGCTCGTACAAACTTACATATGGTGATTGCCCAAAAACTTACATCGGTCAAACTGGTAGAGCCTTTAACAAACGTATAACAGAACACAAATGGTTCAAATTCTCCATATTCAAAATAAAGGCCTTAAGCTATCTTTACTATGCTCTATGTAAATTAATAAATTAAAATATACAAATATAATTCTGAATGAAGACTTAAGACAAACAGCTCTTATTCACCTCCTCCACAACCTCCCCAAACTTATTCATTTAAAGACTATAAAATTGTAATAAATTTTGTGTTTTCAGTGTTTTATTCTTATATAAAGAAATCATTTGGACTAAAGACTGAACTCCACGGATGGGACATCAATTCCACATTTCCAGTGGTCAAAGATTTCCATGTATGTTGTGCTTTAAGAGAGTTGTCCCAATGCAGAATGATTCGAAGTTTTTATATATTTTTTTATGATCTTTAGTTAAATTGTGTGGAATTCAATTCGGAGTTTTCATATCATGGTTATGATCTTCAGTTAAATTGTGTGGAATCCAAGGCGAATATAATTTTTACGCCTAAATGAGCATGTAAAATTTAATTTTCTTGTTTCATTAATCATTTTTCGTGATCAATGTTTGCTGCAGTTTTTGATATTTTCGGTCGACCTTCACTAAACTCATCACTAAGGCTTCTCCAACGAAATTTAAAATATTGATACTACCAAAACACAGTTGTTCTTGTCAGTACCCCATTATTAAATGCATTTTTAGTTCATTGATGCATTAATTTTCATGTTAATAAAAATGTTCACAATATAAATGTTTTTTTAGAATATTGTTTACTGTAAAATTGAACTGATACTGTAATTGATCTGCTCAATATTTTATTTTCAAAAGAACACCTTTTGTTATTTTTGTACCCCATCTTATTACTAACATAGTACATGCAGATATCTTCAGCTTATAATTGCACCTCTCCTTTACGTGGTAGGTAATATTGCTAGAAAATTGACATAACTTAAAATAGTGTGGCGCCAAGAATTGATTCTTGAGGAATGACATAGTAACATCCAGACCTTCATTAAAACATTTATTGACGAAGTTGTATTGTGGTATATTTATATAGTTCTGATTTATTTGTCTTTATTCTAATTTATTGTCTATATTCTAATTTATTAAAACTCACGATAACTAATTACTAATTTATTAAATAGCTGTACAAATGTATTTATTTCACGTTTCGTTACAAGTAAACCGCGTTTCCCGATCTTCTTATGACTAACTCCTCAATGAAATTTCGTCTTTATATATAAAGAAACTTCCGCTATCTGGAAAGTTCGGTGACCTACTTTTGCAACGAACCCCATGGAATATACTGGTTTTTTCGGTGAAGGCAATTAACCGCTGAGACTAGTTCTTTTTCAACTTCGAGTCGTGGATGACTCACTAAAATTAGGGTCTAGATTATTCTGTAAACAACTGGTATCGAAGCTCAGGTAGATTTTGACCTACAAATTACGAGAATCAATAAAAAAGAATTAGTCATAAAATATTTACAGTTCTATATGCCATAACATTTAAAATCGTAACATTGCCCCCCTCTTAAAAGATGGTTCCTCCTGGAACCTTGTCGGGACTGGAACTGGAACGACATGCTGATATCGGCAACTGGACCCTCTTTTACAACTTCCAGTTGTATAGAAATGACAAGGGACGGTTTTCTCTCCGCACCAGTAACTATGCGGATTGCAACAGACTAACACCTGGACTTCGGTGTCTCTAAAGATCTCCTCCACCATACTTCGAATAACCCTCCAATCTAATTAATTGGCGACAGTCTAACTTTGGCATGGCTAACTTTTGCACGTCGGACTCTAGTACGTGCTCTCTCAACTGAAGTAAGGCTTCCCATACATCTCGGTAGGTAGGTTGGTCACGGGCAGTGTCTTTTCTCACCAGGTAGAAAAGGTAACGTGACGCATCTTGGAGTTTCAAGCTTTTACCGGGAGCTGGCACTTGGCATTGAAGTTCTGCAACTCGACCGAACTTCCTTCGAAAGACGGATGCCAACCCTGGTGCGTCTTTGATACTGGCCGGGATTGTAAGGGCCAGTGAGTAGTCATCGGGAAGCGCGAGTAGATCTTGCCTTTCTTCAGTGGTAACACCATGTCTTGCTTTACCGGTACCTCCATAGGCACCCATGAATTCCTCAAACGTGAGGTCAGACACATCTTGGACTTGGTTTACTTCCACTTCTTCATCTACGTCGTGGTCACCCTCGAAAGACGCCAACCGGTTATGGTGTACTATCATCGGCTTTCCTCTCGGAATCTTGCTTATTCGGTAAATAACATCATTGATCTTCTCCATAATGTGGTATGGACCTTCCCAAAACTGCTGCAATTTGGGAGAACAACCTTTTCGCTTTTTGGGGTTATAAAGCCAGACCTTGTCGTTCTTCTTAAAACACCCCTTTTCGGCTTGCGTATCATACCGTTTCTTCATTCGGTCACTAGCGATCTGGAGATGGGAACGGACCAACTCGTGTACATCGTCCATTCTTCTTCGTAATTCGATCACATAATCTTCACCTGCTACATCTTCTCCAGGTCGACACCCAAACTCTAGATCACAAGGTAGTCGCATCTCGCGTCCGAATAGGACTCTGGCTGGTGTCTGGCCTGTTTACTCATTAACAGCAGATCTGTAGGCCATTGTGAAGAACGGAAGATATTGGTCCCAGTCTCGCTGATGATCGGACACCATCTTTGTCAAATACTTGCCAACTGTTCTATTCATCCGTTCTACCATACCATCCGACTGCGGATGATAAGCCGTAGTTCTTGTTTTCTTCATACCCAGTCTATCACATATTCCTTGGAATAAGTCGCTTTCGAAGTTCCTGTCTTGGTCACTATGGATCTCCAAAGGCACTCCAAATCGGCTGATATATTCTTGGATCAACTTATCTGCAACGGTGGCGGCCTTCTGGTCTGGAAGTGCGTAAATCTCGACCCACTTAGTAAAGTAATCCATTACTACCAACATGTACTTGCCTCCATTATCACTTTCTGGAAATGGCCCAGCAATGTCCAAAGCTATTCGTTCAAACGGGCTTCCAACATTATATTGTCTCATAGGAGCTCTCCTTTTTCGATAAGGCCCGTTACTCGTAGCACAAATAGTACATTTCTTACACCAGTCTTTTACATCGTCGGAACTGTTCATCCAATAAAACCGTTCCCGAATTCGCTGAAGGGTCTTTTTCACACCAAACTGCCCTCCTGATGGACTGTCGTGTAACTGACGAAGTACTTCGGCTATTCTGCTCTTTGGAATCACCAACTGTCTTCTCTTCTCTGAACCGTCATCATTTTCCAGGACTCGTTTGAGCAAGCCATCTTCCATGATAAATGAGTCCCACTGGGCCAAATACGTCTTAACTATTGAGCCTAGGTTCGATATTTCTTGCCAAGGTGGTCGACGGTTTTCCTCTTTCCATTTTCGGATTTTCTGTATAACTGGATCTCTCTCTTGTTCTTCCCTGATCTTGGTAGGCGTCCAGTCGTCGTAGACCACCGTCGTTCTTAGCACTGCTGCTTCCTTGGATTCCGTTTTGTTGCAGTGAGAACACTCTGCTGGGCATGGCCTTCTGGAAAGAGAATCAGCGTTTCGGTGGCTAACTCCGGCCGGTGCTCAATCTTAAAATCATATTCTTGGAGTCGTTCGATCCACCTGGCTATCTGACCCTCTGGATTCTTAAACTGCATCAACCACTTAAGGGCGGCATGGTCGGTTCGGATTAAAACTTCCTTCCATAGAGGTATTGATAGAAGTGCTCTACTGATTTCACTACTGCCAGAAGTGACGCTCTCCTCGTGACGCAATAATTTCGCTCAGGTTTTGAGAGAACTTTACTAAAATATCCAAGGACTCTTTCCTGTCCTCCTTGAATCTGAGACAGCACTCCTCCAATTCCCACATTACTTGCATCTGTATCTAAGATGAACTCTCCTTCTGGCAGTGGATACCCTAAAATTGGTGCTGTGATTAAATGCTTTTTTAAGGTCTCAAAGGCATTCTGGCAGTCTACATCCCAGCGGTATTCTCTTGCTTCCTCTGTAAGTCGCGTTAATGGTTTAGCGATATCTGCAAACTTCTTAATAAACCTCCGGTAGTAAGTACATAGTCCCAGAAAACTTCTCACTTGGTGTTTGTCAGTTGGTTTTGGCCATTCCTTAATAGCATCGATTTTTTCCTTATCCACGGCCACTCCTTCTTTACTGACTATATGACCCAGATAATTGACTTTACCTTGAAATAGCTGGCACTTCTTGGGGTTTAACATCAATTGGGCAGCTTTAAGTCGATTAAAAACGTTTTCTAAATTCTTCAGATGGTCTTCAAATGTCTCCCCCAAGACGATTATGTCGTCTAGATAAAATAGGCATGTTTTCCAAGATAGCCCTCTCAAC